CCAAAAAGAAAAATTATTTTAAGACAGAAATGTGAGAAATCTGAAAACTCATATATGCGTCATCCGGGTTTTAGTAAAGAAGCCCGAAAAATGCACATACGAGTCATCCGAAGTGAAATGTTAACAGAGGTGAAGGAAAATCGCGGACGCGCGAGCATGTTCATAACGTATATACTGAAAAAACACGGGCGAAGGGCTTGACGCGCGCGGCCCGAGCGTGGTCGCTCGGTTGTTTCTGAAAACGCCACCGATCGACCAAACTTTCGGCATCAGCGCCGCGCGGCGATAACCTCGCCGAATACAAAATTCCATGTCTCCCGGTCCTCCAAAATCGGCGCCCTTCTCCCGATGTCCCTCTCGCCGACGGACGAAACTCGATTGACCGCGTCCACGTAAGAGAGAACGACGTTATGTATTAAGAGTGTGATGTAGTTTCGAAGGTTTTTTCTTCTCAAAAACTGATTTATTTAAACAAAATAATGAACGAATACCATAGTAAAAATATTTTCCTTCGTTTTTTACAACTGTTCCCCATCTTTCTGACAAGAAATGGATTCTGCGACAATATAAAGTGTTTCCCTTTGTAGTTGATCCGATTTTCAATAAATTTTCGCACTTGTTCCAAGTTATGAAAGTGTGTTCTCTAAAGTATCCTCTAGAGCATGTTGCATCGACCGGAACAAGTGATAATCGGATGGAGCAATGTCTGAAGAATACGCGAGGTGCGGTAAGACTTGCCATTCCAGCTCTAATAGCGTTTGCTTCACTGATAATGCAACGTGAGGTCGAGCATTGTCGTGAAGAAGGATCACTGTGTGTCGTTTACTCGCAATTGGTGATCATTTTTTATCCAATGTTCAATTTATATAATTATTGTCGATCACGATCAGAGGTGACAATTTCATTCGAATTTAACAATTCATAGTACACAACATCTTCTTGATCCCACCAAATACACAGCAATACCTTTGAACCATGAATATTGCGTCTCGAAATGGATGTTGTTGGTTAGCCTGGATTAACCCATGATTTTTTTCATTTGGGATTATCGAAATAAATCCATTTTTCATCCCCAGCAACGATTCGATACAAAAAACTGATTTTTTGTCTGACGATCAACGAAATGCAAATATTCAACCGGATCGCGGTGGTATTTTCCGATAATTGATGTGGAACCCATTTTCCGCTTCTTTGTGAATCTTTGTCATATCGTGTAAACGTTTAATAACTATTGTACGATCAACATTTAATGCTCTGGCAAGGCCTCAAGTGGATTGTGCTGGATTTTCGTCCAATAATGCCTGCAAATCTGCATTTTCAAGCTTTCTTGGTTGTCTCGTGCGATCTTTGTCGTTGAAATCATCACTTTGAAATCAGCATTTTTGAATCGTCTAAACCAACATTCACATGTCTTAATTGATGCAGCAACATCACCATAAGTTTCTATCAGAATTCTATGACCTTCAGCCGCCGTTTTCCTTCGATTAAAAAGTAAAAGCAACGCATGTCGAAAATGCTCTTTAGGGTTAGCTCCATTTTTAAGATTGTATTAACACAATTTTTACTACGTCTATTGTTAGTGAATAACTAAATATCACGGATTAATATTAAAATATTAAGAAACAATAGCTGTGATTGGAATGTCTTCGGCAAAACTGACATCAGTTGACGATCTCTTGCAAAACCTTGCAAAACTAAATCACACTCCTAATATCTCGCGGTGCAACGCAACGACAGTGCACGCAACGGCAAACAACGCGACGCAGCGCGTCCCTATGACGGGGGTAACGTTTGTTAATTATCGGCTTAAGCGCGCGAGGGTCTCGTAGCGAGCCGATTTCACGTTACACTTCCGCTTCTTCGATGCCGCTCGCGCGTCAGGAGTTATTACTCCTCTCGTCCGCATTAGTTCCGCCCGCGATACAGCCTCCGCGGATAATTTCACTGTGATCGCTCGACCGTCTGATTATCGCGCAACGATACGGGATAACTGTACACATTAATATCGTAATCCGCTCTCTCTCGCCAATTTTGCAGTCGCCATGCTGGGCGGCTCACTCGACCGGAAGCCCCATCGGCCGCTCGGCTATTATCGGCGCAAGGCGCTGATGAAAACCGCGCACGGGAAAATAGCCCCCTTTTTTCGGACGCGAGGTGCTACAACGCTCCGATATCGCGCCAAGACGAAAGCGGACTACCGGATAAAAGTTATGGAGACGGTACTCCCAATGAAATATGCGCGTTCAAATTGGATCAAGAGAAGATTGATGAGCCGGCGAACGATTACCGCGCCGAAGCGTGCGTAGCCCGTAGCTGCTGGGACCCAATGCTGAGCGAACTTTGCGAGGAAGCGGTCAAGAGTGATGGCGTTACCTTGAGAAACGAAGATGAATCTCGATGCAAATCGGGTCGTAAGAGAAAAACACGTCGCCCCACCGCCGACAGAATTATCATAGATCTTGGCGGCGGTGTTTCCAACGCATCCCGCGGTGCTCTTAACATCAACATCGTCTCCATGCAGCAGTCGGCGACAGTCGAAATGGGAAATTCGACACCCGTGGTGATACTGAAGCGCGGCTTCTCCGTCAAATGCGCCGGACGCAGGTAACATCCAAAAAAAGTAATTTCAGAACAAGCGGAATCTAAATTTTAGAGGATTTTATTCATACGTATATACGGCCTCAAGAGGATTCCTCTAAGGCTAAGAGGAAAATATTATAAACATATTATTTTTAAAATTAGGGGGATTATATGTTATATATGTTATCTAAATTTTATTGATTTTAATATAAATTTCCTCTTACACAGATTATTTAATCTTCTTCTAAGGGAATTATTATTTATTCTTACCGTACTTTATTCTTACTAGTTATACTGGCTAATTTGAAAAAATTATTATAATGTATAGCGAAAAGTAATATATATAGATGTACTTCTAGCTCCAGTCCTGCAATAAATAGGTACGAATGAAATAAGATCATCATAACAAATAAATTTCCAATCAGTTTTGTTGTGGACTTTATAGCTACAAAGATGTTCATCATCAGCAATTGTATGAAACATAGTTAAAAGAAAGAATATATTCAGCTTCTTGCAATAGATTATAAACAGCATTTGACCAAATATGAGTAAATTATCTTTATATGTTACAGCAACACACATACTTTTTTAAAAAGCGTTCCAAATATTCTGATCCATGAGCATATGGTTATTTTTTTGTTCATGTCTAGAGGTAGAGCATGACTGAGCAAAATAAGCGGACATTCAAATCAACATACTCCTCTTCATAAAAGAAGAAAATTAATTGCTATAAGAGGAAATCCTTTTGAAATAAGAGGAAGAGTTAAAATAATATCTAATAAATTGTAGATGAATGGTTCACTTTAATCGCTTTATCGAAAGAGGAATCCTTTTTCTGCGAAAGGCTTTGCTTAGAATATGAGAGTATGGGAAAAATCACTTTACACAAAGAAAATACTTTTTCTCGACGACCATAACCATGAAGAAATCACTCGCGCGCATTTCGACCGCAAATTTACGTATGCCCACTTTATCATCAGGAAACACCCACGTACTCGCGACTCGATAACGAACGAATCGATCCTCAATCCCGGAGCCGTACCGGCCGTACTTGATGGCGAGATCAGCGAGGCTGGCGGACCGGCATGGCGCTCGTGCGGGGGTCGCGAAAGAGCGGCGGGATACAGCACAGTCGAATCATCATCAAAGAACACGTTACAGCCGAATGTTGACTCGACTATTAATCTGGCGAGGCAAATGGAGTATTTACCGAACAAGCAGCACATACGGTATTTCAGTGCGGATATCTTGGACGAGAACGAGGACATTTCGCAGCCGTCTCGCGCGCTCGATGTGATCCCCGATCCAACGGAACAACGTCGCTGCGATGACACGCCGGCGGGTGTTGATAAGTCACAACATTTGACGTGTCGCCCAAGTCGCGCGAATCATATCGAGTGCTCGGATTGCATATCGAGGCACCAGTGCGCGGCTGCCTGCCGCTCGATAGCCGAGCATGAGCATCGGGATCTGCATCACATCTGTCACGGAGAGGATCGCGACGAGGCGGATTCCGACGCAGAAACGCATGTCGTTTGGCCCGCTGAATGCCGGCATCTGGACTGCGCGCACGCGACGAGCTGTCGATGTTCCTGCGAGTATTGCGAGTACCCCGACGTGAATACGCAAAGCGAGTGCCGGCCGTTTGCGGCGGGCCCGCTGAAAGATTCCGCTCCTCCGCGGAAGCATCTCTCGGACAAGGCGGCTGAATTCGCGACGGGGCCCGGGGAATACTCGCCGGCGGACGAGTGCGACGGCCGCTGCGCGAATTGCGAATGCGCCGCGAGAGGCTCGGCGTCGCCGAACGTGTTCGTCCGGCGCTCCTCTCGCGATTCGAGCGCGGCGCGCGAAATTGATACGCGCCCTGGGACGCGCGGCTGTACAGCGGCGCGGCTGCAGGACGAACGGCCGAATAAATCAGATCCGCTGAAAGCCGCCGACACGTGGGAGCGCGTCCGCCGCTGCGGAGGAGGTCGCGCTGCCGCGGAGCCGTCGCCGTCGCCGTCGCCGTCGACGCGTCCCGACCGATCTCCTGGGGAAAGGGGGGAATTCGCCCGCGGAGTGGATTCCAAGTGGAAACACGGCCCCATTGAAACTGACGCCCAACAATTGGATTACAAATGGAAGAGAAGAATCGCGCCGGTAGAAGCAGCCGATGGCGCGCGCGCGACTGCGGATTTCAAAGGCAGACGCGGCTCCAGGTGAAAGTCGATTTGGATGAGATATGGCCGCGCGATAAAGCCCACCGCGACGGCGCTCTCTTGCTTCTTTTTCTCCTTTCTTTTTTCCCCTTTCGCCTCTCCCTCCTCTTTAGTTCCGCGTTGTAACGCTGCGCTACGTCCAACAGATATAAATCGGGCGAGGCGATTCGTGTCCAATTGCGCGAAAGCGCCGAGATAAGGAAGCGCGAGAGCCCGCAAATGGTCGAGGCAACGTTAGTCCTTCGCGCCGGTTTCTCGGAGCTGCTCTGCACTCACGCCCCCTTCCCTCTCCCCCCGCCCCCCACCGAAAAAGAGAACAGAATCTTTCCGTTCTAGGCTCTCTTTTCTTCTTCTCCCTCGCTCGCTCTCTTTCTCTCGCGTTGCTTCGGAAAGGTTCTCCTCTCGCGCGCCGGATATGCCGCGCTTTTGTTTATTTTCTCTCTCGATTCATCCTGACCAATTTAACATTTGTTTTCGGCGCTCATCTCGGGAAATATTAACCATGCTGATACAATTGAACAATAATACACACATGTATGGTGAAGAAATATTTGATACAGCCGTTGATTTTCAATTACTTTTTACAGCAAACACGAATTTTCTATTGCCCACTTAAATACATATGCCCACTTTACATATGACGCGCGCGGCACTCTCTCATTGTTTGACCGCGGGAAATAGCATCCGGAAAATTAACGCAACGCTTCACCCGATTCCAGACTTCACTTACTCTTTCAGCGCGTAACCGCGCTCAGCTGCTGCGCCGCTGCGGAATATTTCCAAAACGGCGCGCGACTTGACAACAACAACGATTCTTCGCTCGTACATTTCACCGCGCGCCGCGCACAGAGTGCATCGAATTTACCGCGCTTCTCCCTTCGACGGATTCTTTGTTCAATTCCAAGTCGAGCTTCCCGCGCCGCTACTCCTCCTGCCAGCACCAAAAGAGCGCGGTAAAAGGGAACACATTAGATCCGTCGACGCTCTCTGCACAGCGTGAACGGGAGACGCGCGCGAGAATTCGACACAGTCAAGTGACACACGTGAATGTTCCGCAGGTCACAAACGAGGTACGACGACACAAACGCCGACGGCGTACGCCGCGATTACTCTCTTTGGCTGAGTTCACCGATGGGCAAAATTTGGTCGCGAATGCGCGACGCATGCAAGAACGTCGCAAAGCTCACCGCTGCAAGCGTCGGGCGCGTTGCGAGGAATGCGCCGAAATCGGAAGGCTCGTCGAAGAATCCGGAAGTCGAAATGGCACCGGCGACGCTCGACGACGCTCGACGACGGCCGGTGATCCTGTACGCCGGCGGAATATGCGGAGAGACATGTCGTAAAAGTTTCATACGCTCAAAGGCTGCGGGTAGGGATGCAACGATTTCTCAAAATATCGACAATGATATTATCGTCATTCAGAACCATCGATAACGATAATATCGTTATCGATGGTTCTGAAATTTTTTAAAATATCAATATAAATTTCGATATTTTAAAAAATACCGATATTTATATTGATATTTTTATTTAAAAATGTATGTAAAAATGTATGTATTTAAAAATGTATGTTTATAAAAAATATATAGAGATATGCATAGAAAGGATATGCAGGAAAAATTTGAAAAGATCTTTTAAAAATTTTTATCTTCATATAATTTATTGTCGTATTCTTATTAGAAAATATATAATGAATCACAGTCACATTTGCCGGAGATCACCACATACATGGAGCAGGAGATCTATTACAGTTCAACGATTGAGGTGGGAATTATAAAAGTGAGCGAATTTACTAGACATCGAGCAATTATATAATATATATTCTAGTGAATTCACTCACTTTTGTAATTTTCATCTCGGTCGTAGAACCGTAATAGGCCCCCAGAGCTCTAACTGAAAAATACGAAAATCAGTAAAATTCACATCGATATGTCGATTTTATCGAAGACAAAAAAATATCGATAAATATTCGATATTTGTCTCTCGATATATCGATATTTCGATATTATTGATTTATCGTTGCATCCCTAGCTGCAGGCGAATCGACGGCGCGTCAGGAACGCGTAGGAAAATCTCGCGAGGATGCGGAGGCTTCGGCGGCGACGCGGAGGCGCGCGCGAGCGGCCGCGTCTTGCGGCCGCGACGACGCGCAGGAGCGAGCGTATAAAAACGCTGAGAGCCGGCGGGACGGCGGAAAGTCTTGTGTATTTTGCGACGGTACGATTAATAGTAATCAATCCTCTTTCTCTCTCTCTCTCTCTCTCTCTCTCTCTCTCTCTCTCTCTCTCTCTCCGCGCGTCTACCTGTTGCACTGACAAAACCGTCGAAATTCATAGCTTACGTTTATAGCGGGCGATCAACACACCCATCCCCTGGGAGCGAGTTTACTTACAAAATACATGTAACGTTTTTCGAGGAACTTGTTGCTATTTTGCGCGGCACCGACAGCAGCGGCGCAACAACAAAGAATCTGCTTTTATTTTCGTTCTTCGCCGAGCACGTTGCTTTCCAATTGCTGTCGGCTCGTTGTTGATTTATCTTTCGCTTTTTCCTACGCCGCGCCGTCGCGGCGCACGTGCCGCATAGATAGCGAAACGTCTATATATCCTCCATTCCCCCGGTAAATATCAACATTGTGACTCTTTAATTTTGCAAATTGACGTTAATTTCCTCACAGTTGCCTCACAATCGCGATAAGAGATTTACGCGGTCCGCTTTGCACACGTAATATTTTTCTGGCGTGCGTGTATAAAATATCCTCTCCCTTTTCTCTCTCTCTCTCTCTCTCTCTCTCTCTCTCTCTCTCTCTCTCTCTCTCTCTCTCTCTCTCTCTCTCTCCCTCTCTCTCTCTCTCTCTCTCTCTCTCTCTCTATCTCTCTATCTCTCTATCTGTCTACCTGTCTATCTATCTATCTTTATCTCTTGAAACGTTTCCAAATTGACACGTTGCGAAGACAAAGGATATTATTTATATTCAAATTTCACATTAACCTTTTCATACGAGAAATTTGCATTTAGATACGAATGCCTTTGTGAAATATTCAATATCGCGAAACATCCTCTGGTTCGCTGTACGTATAAATTTCCCCCGTCCCTTTGATGCGGAAATAATAATTACTCGTCCACAGAGCGTGAACGCGACAGGCATCGGATCATAGAATTCCTACCACGAAATGAGACGCACGGCCACGATGAGTATGCGTATCCTCGGCCTCCTTTGAGCGAGTCTTTCGTGCATACCGAGGAGCCCGTATTCAGGATCTCGTAGCCGAGGGTGCAGCGACGGCAAGCAAAGTCCTGCGAAGAGTGTTGAAAATCCACGAGAATGCGACGTGCCAACGATGTTGAAGAAAGAAGGCCTTGGAGTCGTCGCGTTTCGCGAGACCTGCGCGTGTCATGTTGAAAACGAAGAATCGCGCGAGCATCACGCAGGAAATCCAAGTTCATAGCTCGCCGCGGTCCATCGCGAAGCATCCGCAGCTGCTGACTGTCGAGTGATTCGCGCAGATGCGCCAGACGTTTCCCCGAATAATTGGCTGCTTCGGCAACTCCGCTTAGCAAGCGCAACAGTTCCAGGTAAATGATGGACAAAGGTGAAAGCGTATGAGATGTACGCGAAAGAGCATATCAGCCGAGCACGCCGATGCTGAAGAACGAGGACATTCTGGACACGACGATGTTGTCGGCGGAAATCAACTCCGCGCTTTTTCCTTCGTCATGGAACGAGCTGATAACTTCGACCTCCGAGCAGGCATCGCCGCCGCTTGTATCGTCGGGGGCGAGATCGGCGCGCTTCCGGATTTCCGAGCTACGCGACGGCGATGAGATTCCGGAGGAAGCGATCGGCTATTGGTAATAAAGCCATCGCGCCTGTGTTTAAACGGAGAAGGAGCATCGGGAGGATGGGGGGTTATCCGCTACTACTCGTGATAGCGGAATGAAGATTACGCAAATAGAGCCATCTACTGTGCAAACTGCTCGAGAAGGCAATAAAAGGCGGACCTACGTAAACATTCAAGTGCAAACAGCCGACGCGATTGTTACGAGGATTTTATCGAAGCTCCTCGCCGACGGCGAAGAAAAAGAGGTGGTAGAAGAGGGAGAGGAGAAGCAAGAGCAGGAGCAGGAGGAGCGAAAGAAGGAGGAGGGAGTGCTGATGAACATAACGCTACAATCAAAATCGGATCACGACGTCTCGGACGGGAAAAGAGTCTCGGCGAGAAAGACGAAGTCGCCAAAAACGCCGTCGGATAACGTCACTTTCACGGAGACTAACGCATTTGATTCGAATGGACACGGTCCTCGAATCATGACCCCCACCATGTCGAGGATAGTGCAATGTTTCGTCTGTAGCAAACGACATTGTTACATGTAGATGAGGTGTTCCGATGAGTCGATTTTTCTGCAAGAAGCATTAATCGCGGAACACTCGGAGATGGCAGAATCGAGCGATCTCGCAAACTTTAATACCGTTGGAAGAACGAGGAAAGTCTCCTAAAGCCGTCAAAATTTCACTTCTTCTCTCTACACGTTCTCGCATTCCAGATTAATCGACAATCGTGAGAAAAATGTAGCTACCCGAGTAGAAAAATTAATAAGGCTAGGGTAAGGGCCTGATTATTTTTCCCTAACACTAATCAGGCCCTAGTAGAGATAGAAAGACAAGAGCCCTACGAGATGTGTAACAAATGGTTTAATGGGCCCTTATAAGGTGATATTATAAGAGCTTTATAAGACAATAATTTTACTATTGCTTGAGTAAAAATATTCGTTCTTTTCATTCCAAAACATTTATAGACTATAATTTCTTTATTTATTTATAATATACTTGTTAATATACATAACAAAAATTCTTTTTTTTTTAAATATAACATATTTTACAATAAAATATAACATTCTTTACACATAAAAATCCTGCTACTGTTTTTATTAAAGTTTTTATTAAAGTTTACTGCATTTCCAAACGAAGGAAATACTAGAAAAATCCTTGGAAGAAACTAACGAATGTAGCAATTAATAAAACTAATAAAATTTGTTTTTAATTGCGGTATAATTAAACAATCTTTAAAAGAACCAGATAGACAGCGTACCTACTGAAACAATACTAAACTATGACACTTTTATTACACGCTTCAGATCTTATTTTCTATAACAAAACTTGATTTTGTATGTCTAACTAAAGCATCCTCTTAAAAGATCCTTCTAAGGATCCACATCAGTTTTCCATGTTAAAGCATTATTTCGTAAAATCTATGGTATCGCTAATAAATTCTTCTAAGGCCCTTCTCAGCTTTCTCTATCAAAGCCTTATTTATGAAATCTAAGACATTCCTAAAAAATTCTTCTAAGATCCTTATCAGTTTTCACTAACAAAGCCTTATTTATTAAATCTAAGGTACCCCCCCTAATAAATCTTTTTAAGGCCTTCATCAGTTTTTCTTATCAAAGCTTTATTTTGTAAAATCTAAGGTATCCCTGAAAGATCCATCTCGATGTGATAATAATTAGGCATCCCTTTTTAGAGCATTCTACTCTCAACCTTATTGAAGCCTTATGCTTCATGAGAGAGTAGCCTTTACAATTTTTTACTCGGGTGGAGACGACGCTGACGACTGGTCGAAAATTTTCAGTAATTACCAATCTGACAATCTTTTAGGGATGTCTTAGATTTTACAAGTTTTCGATTAGTCACATCCGATTTTAACGACGCATCCCTCACCGTCGATTAATCCAGAAAGCGCGTTTGTCAGCGCAACTGGCCGAAGACTTTTAGACAACTATCGATTTACATCGTTGACATGCGACATAAAATGTACAACACGTCTGTCGGATTTTTCGTGCGAGTTGATGAGCCCGGTCGAGAAACTCGCGCAACTTCAGGCGATGTTTCCGCCGTGAAATTTTAGTAACCTTGCGTTTCGCGCACACACGCGTCCATATTTCCCGTTTGTTTACCCCTGATAATGCGCATCGAAAGCACGTCCGGTATATTTGCAACTCACCGAAATTTATCTGCGAATTGAAATTCTGAACTGTTAACGGCGTTGCAGGCAAATAGGCGTTAATCATGAATAACCTCGCGTGCAATTTACAAAGTTCAAACACACTCGGACATTCGAAATAATCTCCCCGCTCGGCGCGAAATAAAATACACGACGCATCCGCAATTAACACAATGATCGCATCATAAAACGCATAAAAATATCGAATCGGAGTGGTAATTAATTAACGGGGAACATGGCGAAGAGCGAGCAGATCCAAATCCCCGACTCCCGAAGGGGTTGCTGCAAGAAGACGGACCGCTTCATATACTGCATTATCCTGAACGCGAGCGACGAGTTGCTGTCGAGTCTCAAGCGCGACTGCGCGCTGAAGATTCACACGTTCTTCGGCGACCTAGCGCGCTCCATCGAGCGCAAGCCGCACAGCAGGCGGACGGACTTTCTTGTGAAAAGCACAGAGGACGTTGCAAGGCCATGCGAGCCTCGAGGGAAGCCATCGACTCGCGATTCCTCGTCGTTGGTCGGAGAGGACGCGCTCGACATCGCCGCGAGGACGCCCGAGAAAATCAAGAAGCACGCGACGGACACCATGGCGTTCGCGTCGCACTTCGTCACGCTTCTCGATCAGATCCACCGCGAGGACCTCGCGCGCGTCGCGAAGGATCTCGCTCGATTTCTCGCGCTTTCTCGCTGCACGGGAGACTCTGTCGCGGAGTGCAGCTGCATCCGGACCCGAGGCTTCCCCGTGAACGGGAAGCCGAAGGCCGAGAAAACGGCGCTCTGCGTACGCAAGTCGGCGATGTCGGTGACACCCGGACCGGAAGAGGCGGCACTTGGGTCACTCGCAACCTGCGCGATCATTGATGCGGAAGAAAAATTGGATGATGCAATGGCAATCGCGGATATCGCGACGGAACGAGAGTCCTTCTCGATTCCTTGCGCAAGACTTCCCTGCGCTCGAGAGCGTTCGGTATCCTCCTATGAGACAGCCGAAGGGTCTGAATTCGACAAAACGATCCCAGCGTTTTCGCCGGCAGAAGAAGTGAAGAGCGATGTTGCGTCATTGAGATATGCAGAAAAGGAGGACACCGCTGCAATTACAGCCGTTGTTATGAGCGAGAAGATAGACGGACCAGACGAGCTGATAGACGATTCTATCGTTGATCGGATGACAGTTGAGGTCCCCCGTATGGGCCCTACGATTATGGGCTTGGCAGAGAAAATAACTGTAAGAATGCCGTCCTTAAAATTACGCGTTAGTACGAGGGCTGGGAATGAATTAAATTTGGTCTAACGCGCTTTCGGTCCACCCAAAAGAAAAGTAATTTCAGAATAAGCGGAATCATCTAAATTTTAGAGGATTTTATTCTTATATATGGTCTCAAGAGGATTCCTCTAAAATTAAGAAGAAAATATTATAAACACATTATTCTTAACGTTAGAAGCATTATATGTTATATGTAATGCAAATTTTATTGATTTTAATATAAATTTCTTCTTATACGCAGATTATTTAATCTTTTTTTAAGAGGATTATTATTTATTCGTACTTTATTCTTACCAGTTATACTAGCTAATTTGAAAAAATTATAATGCACAGCGAAAAGTAATATATATAGATGTACTTCTAGCTCCAGTTCTACAATAAGTAGACACGAATGAAACAAGATCATCATAACAAATAAATTTCCAATCAGTTTTATTATCGACTTCATAGCTACAAAGATGTTCATCATAACCAATTGCATGAAACATTGTTAAAAGAAGGAATATATTATTCAACTTCTTGCAATAGATTATAAACTGTATTTGACCAAATATGAGTAAAATATCTTCGTTATATGTTACAGCAACACACATACCTTTTTTTAAAAAGCGTTCCAAATATTCTGATTTATGAAAGATATGGTTATTTTTTCGCTCATGTCTGGAGGTAAAACATGACTGAATGAAATAAACGAACATTAAAAAAAATCAACATACTCCTCTTCATATAAGAAGAAAATTAATTGATATAAGAGGAAATTTTCTTGAAATAAGAGGAAAACAGTTGGAATAATATCTAATAAATTTTAGATGAATGGTTCACTTTAATCGCTTCATCGAAAGAAGAATCTTTTCCTTGTAGAAAGCTTCGCTTAAAATATGAGACTATAGAGAAAAATCACTTTACAAACAGAATACTTTTTTTGGGGTGTTTTGCATCGCTTCGTATATCGCTGACCCTCTCATCGGAATTTCGCAGATCCAAGAGCCTCCGGTTCCAGCGGAAGATGGGTTCACAGGACATATAAGAACCGAAACAGCGCGATCCGAAGGGAGACGAGTTCGCGAGGACGCCGCGGCCGAAAGTTCGCCGGCAGGAGAACCGACGCCGCCGGCGCGGGATATCTTTGAAGAACCTGCAGAGATGAAGCGCAAAACGTTGCAACCCGAGGTCGAGAGTTCGCCGGCGGTAAGAAAAGCCACACAGCCGGCGGAAGATGTGCCTGGAGAATGTGCACGATCCACGTATAGAGCGCTGCGGTCGAAGAAGACACGAGCGATCGAGGACACCGTGGTGACAAGTTTGCCGGCGGTGGAGGGAGTCGCACGGCTAAGGACGAAGGACACGCTGCAAGACCCTGCACGAAGAGTACCCTACCCCGTGTACAAAGTGTCACGGTTGAAGGAGACACGGGCAATCAAGGATACCGTGGACAGAACTTTGGCGAGCGATACGTTGCGGGACTCTGCACAAAGCAAGCGCAGGATGCCGCGGTCTAAGAAACACCCGGTGGCCAAAGGTGTGGAGAGTCGTTCGACAAGTACATTCTTCTTCTGCACCTATTCCAGAGCGCCGAGGAGGTCGTGCGATCACTCCGAAAGTTCGACAACAGAAATCAGTCGGAGTTGCCGGCAGGTCCTGCTGCCAAGATATTGCGATTCCAGATCCAGATATTGCGGCACCTCACGTGCGAGCTTGCGAAACGAAGCTTTGGTTTGTTACCCTTTACCCTATATAGCCGGATATCACAGCGGTTACTGGTGCTGGGGGGCAGCTTGTAACGTCAACAGTCATGGGAAATTTGGAAATTCGTTGCACACTCGTATGCGCTGTAACGGCGACACGGGCTATTATTGGCCACATTTGAGTGATATTGACAACCGTCGGATTCCGCATTGTCATTGCAATGACGGCCGCTCGGCGTGGAGTGACGAGCGGCGTTGCGGAAGGAGTTGATCGCATTACCGGGCGGATGAAAATTTATATTTCATGCATCCGTGGGTGTATGCGGGCGGGGCATTTTCTGCGATATCGATATCGACGCGCGCGACATTTCAACCCGGCCGCCGCGCAACATCACTGCTCGCGTCGTTCGTCGGGCTCCTTTTTCCGCGGCGCGAATTAAAATTGATAGTAAATACGCTCGCGTGTAATCAGCGCGTCGCAATCCGTGACGCGTCAGTCCTAATTATAGAGCCGCGTGCTAATGTTAGTTATGGACGCGCGTGCGCAAATAGCCGTCGCGGACTTCGGAGCGGTCCGACGCGCACAGCCATGCATATATTAATAATTAAAATTAATAACTAAGTATAGTCACACAGCATACGCGCGACGCGCTCGGCGCACTGATGCCGCGCGACAAGATAATATATCGCGCGATATATTAATACGGACGGAGCGATTATGCGTCGCGGGCGCGACCGCGTTACGCGCGTCGCAGCAACTAAATTCGCTAATAGTGACAAAAGGCCCAGCGGTCGCGGTTCGAAGTGCGAAAACCAGCAGAAATTGCAGCGCGCGATCGACATGCCCGACGGGGCAAAGGCCAGACGCGCGCGACGTCCCCCGAAAGTCAGGCGCTGCGGCGTCTGGAGGAGGCCGGGGCTGACCGCTCGGCTGTCTCTTCAAGAAGCCACCACTCTCCGCCGCCTTCAAGACACGTCCGCAGGAGCGCGGGGATAAACCGCGCGGCGTACGCGAGAAGCCGTCGCCGTTCCGCAAGAAACGCCAAACAGCGCCGAAAAGAGCTTGCGGCCAGTCGGGAAGTTTGCATTGACGGCTCCCGCGGGGTACGTCGTCCTCGTCGTATCTTAAGCAGCCTTCGTGGTCGGCGATTGCGGCGGAAGGTACCTCGCGGAAGTTCCTCATGAAGTTCCTCGGTAGCTCACCTGCTAGATACCTGGACCGGACGCTTGGCCAAGGGCAAAAACCGCCCGAAAACGTGGAAGCGTCGCTGTGCATTCCACGCGGCTCTTCGTCGTTACGTTTAAGCGTCGTCGGCCAAGTGGTAGATACAAGCTGACGCCGGCGTTAAATGGGGTGGAGCCCAGTCCAGTACTCAGCCACTTTTCAGCGATCCTCAGCGGGGATTTATTAATTGCTTCTTAATTATTTGTCAATAATTATTTTATAACATCATCGTTATTTAATTCGGTATTATATTTTTGGCAATAATACTTAGCATGTGTACATTTTACATTGTTATTTTTTATGATAATACCTTACCGTTATTCCTTTATCAATAATAATAATTGGTAATAACGATAATATTATCATTATTATTAAAGTATAAAGTAATAATGATAATATTGTTTATATTTTTTGCAATAATACTTATGTTACGTCCTAGAGGAGGAGCGCAACCTTTTCGTTCGCAAGAAAGGCGAACCTCGTTCGTA